TATAGTCAACCATCTCTCCAAGCTGGCGCTGGAGCGCCATCTGTTTCTCGTATTCATCCAGCCAATCAGTACTTTCGCCCAATCGAAACAGACTATCTCACACAGCTTCAAACCGACGGAAGTATGGCTTACCCAGCGCAGACTTCAACTGATACTTGGAACAATTCCTTATTTGGGCAGCCTGCACAGCCAGCGATTTATCTTCCTTCGGAACGAGTTTCTGTACCTCATGCTCAGATGTTCATTCCACAGGAGCCTGCCGTCAAAGAAACTTCAAAGACAACGAGACAAACGCTACAAAATTCCCCAGTAACAAGCGAAAGTGAAAGTGCTACAGATCCTGATGTGTGGGAATCTGTTTCAATGCGAAGAAGTCCAGGACATAATGAACAGCAAAAAGACGATGATGAAATCCAAACGGAACCTCGACCAAGAGGTCCACCATTTGAGCAAAAAGGGCCTACATTCAATAAGGAGGTTAAACCAGTTCCTCCTCCTCCACCTTCTTCACCGGAACAAGTTCTGCGAGAGAAACCTCTTGAGGCAATGACTTCAGAAAGACTGATTCAGCAGTTCGAACTTGAAACTGATCAGTTGGAGGAAGAAGCTATCCGTAGAATTGCCGATTATGATAGACAAGAACAGTTGAACGAACTTAGAAGGAAAATGTGCGATCGATTCAAGAGATTTTATCCAAATCTATTTAGCGATGAAGATGAGGAAGAGGGCATAGATGAGGAAGCAAAAACTTCTGAAGAGGAAGATGAAGATGAAACTGGTGTTCCTATAGTAAGCACTTTGCTACCTTCAACCTGCAAACATATATTTGTCTCTTTTTTAGAATGGTGAAGTTATTCGAAATGGTATTCAACTTGCAGCCAGATATCTTGCTTTATGGTTCCCGGACAAGAAAGAGCGAAAGGAGATGATTCCGTGGAATACATTAAGAAAAATTAAGCCTATTCGTCTCTGCTTTTTGGATAATCGCGTAGGTAAGTAGGCCTCACCAGAAGGAATCCTCTTGATGCACCTTTTTTACTTATTTCAGGGCACGGCGAGTACGAGACCTTTGACATCGGTGAATTTGTAACCAGCACCGGCCATATGATGTTTGCTTATGGTGATGGCCCAGAGGCTGAAGATGATACAAGACTTTTTGTGCTCGATGTTGTTCGACAACAGATGAATATGCTATTGCGGCGATTATGGTGCAAAATGGTAGAGACGCATGAAAGGTTGGTTCTTTTTTTAAAATCGTTGACTAAAGGAGAAAAATTCTGATTCTAGGAAGGTTTTCACATACTGCCACATATTCTCGCTTTATAAAAAACATCCAATTCGATTGAGGCGACTGGTTCGGTACCTCGTAGTAAGTTATTTTGCACAGCTAAATATCAGACTTGTGACAATCACGCGCAACCAATTTTGAAGGAACAAAACCGTCAGCGACACATGCTCTATAGAGTGATGATCGATCAAGGTCGTCGTAGAGGCCAAGACTACTTTGAAAATCGCATGGGTGTTAATGAAACCGGTTCTACGGAAGTAATATTCTTGAGAAAACGGTAAGTGGTTTTCT